TCCTGCTGGCACTACTAGGCCAACATGAAATGACTAGTTGCATAAGTGTTTCTAGGAGTGTCTGTTGTATGCATATACATATTTACTACAAATAATGAGTAAAACTTGGAAGCTTCTTGCTAATGTAATATACAAATTTAAAAGTAAAAAGTTCTACTATATGTAAAGATGGATCTGAAAGACTATGGCCAGAGAAATGTGATTGCTAGGAAAAAAAAAAAAGTTTCACAGGAGGTAAAAAGTTTGTTAATTTCTTTGTATGAGATGAAACACTTTTTATTCATCTTTCACAATTATTTAAGAAAAACATCAAAGCAGTCATAATAAGAAAACGTTGAAAGTCTAAACTGCTTGTCTTGACAGTTATTTTCCTCACTTTCCAAACTACATCGCTTATACAATACACTGTTTCTTATTACTTGGTCATAGTTATCAGTTATTAACACTAACCAATGAAATACCATTTTCATTTCAGATTTGATAAAATATGTTAGCAAACAAATGCTAACAACACTGCCTGGTAATACATTTTGCTGCATATTAAACACAATCAGGATTCTACAGTTTCAGATTTTTATCCACTATCAAAAAACTTGGGGCAGAATTCAAACCCCAAATGCTTCTGGATGACTTCCAGTTTGGGGAGGTGGAAGGACAGGACTTTTGTTGCGTTGTTTTACACAAGATAACATACCTATGCATATGTGTATGTGTAAACACACATAAAAAAACCACTAAGCAAAATTCCACTACTAACACCAGGTGGTATCCTGCCACAGCCAGATTATTATAGTCTAGTCTCAATGGGTAATTGTGCAAATATTTCCTTCAGCTTCACTCATGTCTAACTATTCAACGATACATGTCCTTAGATGATACAAACTTCCATCGCGCTGATCTGCCTCAGTGAAATTACACTCATAACTAAAAAGGCACACATTTTTGCAAAAGCAAGGTCTTAAACTCTGTTCTTCTGCGAAACATTAAGAAGTGCAACGTTTGGCAAGAACATACCCGTAATGTTAAACAAAGGTGGCACACAGTGGTAATTTCATAACTAATGAATTATATTAAGTGACCTGAGTGAAAAACACACAAGTGTACACTGTATGTAATTCATATCACATTACAACTAGGATTTGAAAAAATAGCAACAAAACTTGGGATACATCTAATCGAAATTTCAATGCACTTAGTAAATTTGGTTTTTTTCCTCTGTATCTCACAAAGTTAATTTGCCTCTGCTGTTGTTTAAAAATATATATATGCATTCCACATAATTCCTACTAGAGGCAGACATTACAATTCAGAACCTTACTTTAAGACAAGAGAGTGGTTTACGCTTATATAAATAAAACAAAGTCAAAGCTACCAGGAAAATTATAAGGGAAAGGCCACTCACTTTCATACCAAAATATAATATTCACTCTGCCTAGTCAGTGTATGCTCAGAGGCACTCACAGGTACACAAGAGTGATTTTCTATACCTGAGAAGAAGTGTGCCTTGAAGCCTTTTTTTGACACAGTGTTGTCAGATCTGAATTCAATTCGCATGTTGTTGTACTGAGAGGTGATAACTTCAGGCACTTCTGTACCGCAGAATTTACCATGTAGTTTAGAATCAGAAGAAAGGCCACTACGAATCTCCACATAATCGTACTTGCAAACCTGAGAAAAGAAAGAAAAAATTTTTTGTTGGCTAACTAAAAGAAAAGCATGAAGTTGCTTCTTACAAACGCAAGAACTCTGGTATATGCTGCTTAGTAATAGATCAATAATATCTTTTTTCACTTTTCCCTGACTGAAAACATTTGTAAATTCTTACAAACATTCACTGATTTTGTGTAACAATATTTTAAGGTCACTAAGGCATAGCTATCTTATGCATTACGTTCAAAACTATTATTTTGATAGATACTAATCTGTGTTTAGTATCTAAATTTCAAGATGCTTAGTAACGTTTCCATTTAATCTAAAAAGTAAAAATTCCAGTGACATGAGACTAAAATCTAGCAATATTCAACCTAAAAATTATACCTATCTTTGTGCTGTAAACCACATACCCAGAACCTACAAACCTTTTACTGCTTGCACCTCATAGAATTTTAAAAAAACCTTAATTTTCACTTAGAAACTTACGAGATAAGGTTTTATCATAATGTATTTGAGACATATTCATTTATTTACAAATATATAAAACTACACTATTAAAACCATACATCTTTCTTTAACAGGAGCATAACTATAATTTTGAAGGTTGATGCATGTCATTGTCATTAAAAGGTTAAAAATAAAGTAAAATAATATAATAAAAAAGCCTTATGCAAGGCCTGCTACTCGTGATAATACTTTCAATGCATAATCCCTTGGTCAACCTAAAGCCTTCCACCCAAAAACTTCTAAGCTTCTTAGGCTCAACTATCAATCATTTAATCAAAAATGTCCCAGTTGTCTGCAATTAATAGCTTAAGAGAAAACAGTGGCCAGGAGGATTCATACAGAGTTTAGAATGTCCACTATATCCAAGTTGTATTTGATAAATCACAATTTCTAGTCAAAAAAGAAATGTCAGGGGAGCTGGAGGAGAACTACAGAAAAGGATGTTTTAGCCTTTATTGCTCTCTCTCCCTGTGAAATATTAAATGATTGTCAGCATTTCCAGTTGTTTTTAATATAATACATTCTAGATGTAGATTAAATATTCATTGTTACGGGAAAAATTTTCCTATGTTGCAGAGTTGGAAAGTGACTAATTCAGTTGAAACTACTATTATACAATATAAAGAACACAAAGATTCATAAAACTTGAGTTACAGCCACATACTGATTTATATTAATTGTAATTGTAATTCATATTAATGCATGTGATTTTCAAATATAGTTTGCAACATTAATAAATCTCATCAATTTGAGCAATACATCAGTGGTGAGTTTTGATGGTTTCATAGCTTTAGATTAGAAATGAAATGTAATTTCAGATAGGTCTAACTTTCTTCATACTACACCATATTTACAAAATTTTACAAGTTAAATGTAAAATTAAAATTGTAAGATGTAAAACATTAAAATTGTGATATCAGAAAAGACATCTTGGTCCTAAATGGAGCTCCTATAACAAAAAAAAAAAATAGAGCATTTCTTAAATGTATACATTTTATGTCTGGACTTGGACAATATATTAGAATGTTCCAGATATTATATGTTTCTTCTGATTTCCACAGGAACCATTCTTAGCACTACTATTTAATAGTATAAAGCTGAGATTTAGTAGCACAGGAGAGGATCAAACCAAAATTATTAATGTTGAAAAACACTATGTATTTATTTTTCATATCTGCTTAAGTTATGTGTCTTGCATGATCTTAGAAAACTGATTTAACTTCATTACACCCCAGGTGTCTTCCTGGCAAATATGGCTTAAGCACCAAGAAAGTGCAGGAAAAATGTTTTATGATTTGTTCAAATGGTAATTAAGTTTTAATTCTTTGGGATTTTTAAGTTTTTATTACACATTTGCAGTTCTTATAATAACGATAACAGAACATGAGCATAACCTATAAATCATTAAAAGTTGGAATTTCATGGACTTTAGAACCCACCCCACATTATTTAAAATAAAATAATAAAAAATCTCACATTGCTGCCTCTGCAAATAATTTTGAGATACTTTGGAGAAGCCATGGCTAGGTTGTTTCTTAGTTATAAATTAAACTCCAGCTTTTGCCACTTCAGATCTCATGCCTAAAGCATGGCCCATCCTTATATCGAATATGTTGCTACAAATTTTTTTAGTCAGAAATAACATCCTGGGATTTGGGGTCTTAACGCCGTGTGAAAAATACCCAGATAAACTCAATGGCTATAGCAAATTATGGCTAGAGCGTGGCAAGGGAACTTAATTGCATGACAGAGCAGTGCCTAGGAAGCAGAACATAGGCTGAAAAGTTGATGTTGAAACCCGTATTTTACTGATTTGCACCCAAAAACCACTGCAACCCCCACCGCTTTGTTTAAAGCTATAGGAGCAGCCCCTGCCACATGGAGGACCCTGCCCTGCCCCTCTTCCCCACCTGGGGTCAAGATCCCCCACGCCTCCAGGGTCCGCCCGGCTCAGATACTGCTGTTGTTCTATTGCGCCTTATTTCTGGTACTGCTTTTTTTTAAAATATTTCCCCCATGAGATACTTGTAAGTGATTTAAACGCTCCCTTGCTCTGTCACTAACCACAGCTTATGTGTATTCTTTGTAGTCATAGTCTGTAAAGATGATTTGGTTTCTCCAGATTTTCTTCTCTTGAATTCTTTCCAATATGCCTCAGCCATTTGCTCTGTTTTAATTTGTTGATAAAAAAAGTCAGCTGAGACTCAGCAGAGAACATTTTTTTTAAATTTCTTGTAATACATATACATTCAGATGATATGTAAAAGAGAGCTATTCTCTCCATGTTTGTTTTGAAAGAATCCAGAAACAGTCCCAAAATGAAAACAAGAATATCTATGGTTATTGTCAGCGTATGAACAGTCAGCAAGGGTTTTATAAGACAATATCTATTTTTGAACACTTGTGAAACCGTTTAGCGTGTAACAGATTGCGCAGGTCTCTGTTCACGGTTACTTACTTCATTCCCTTCTAACTCAAAAAACTCAAACTTCATTGAAATTCGGTATTGCGTTGGGGCAACCACCTGCCACACACAGTTTTTGTTTGGAGGATACTCTTTGGGCCACCCTGGTGTGGTTATAGTCCCATTTAGCTTTGTCAGGAGTCCTCCGCAAGCAGCTGTAAAATTAAAAGGGAGAGCATCATTTCTTGACTGAAACCATGTTTTACCATAAACAGAAGCACACTGAGAAGATTCAGTCCTCTCATTACTTATACTGCTGTAATGCCCAGACAGACTAATCAGAATCTTGTTTTATCATGCTTGGTGCAAACAAAGAGAAAGAGACAGCCCCTATCTTGAACAGCTTGCAGGTTTGCGGACAGAGATAAGTTTCAGGAGTACACAAGGCGTTATCATATTCATTCTTTTCCCTTCCCTCCAGAGACTCTGGTTATTCTCTCACAGCCTTTCCCATGCAAGTCCTCTGACCTCAGCGCCCTCCCCAGGACCTTGACCACCCCTCTTCTGACAGACGGACTACTTAAGATGCGCTTTGCATTTCCCCAGCTTCTATCCTTGATTATTGATCCAGAATACAGCCCTACCTGCCTCAGCTCATATAACTGTATATGCCTCCCATAACCTACTAGATAGGGTCACTTCTTTGGGATAGCAGTCACGTACTCTTCAGTCACAATTACTTCTGCTGAAGTATGGATGTTCAAGTAACAGAGAAAATACCTATTATTTCCAAATATATGGCAAATAGTCACCTCCATACAACACAACAATACTGTACTATGTTTGCGAATGCAGTTCAGATAGCAAAAGATAAACACATCAATCTTTTCCATCTGTGGAATTTTTTTTTTTTTTTTTTAAATGGGATTTACAGAGGTTCTTGATCACACTTTGCTGCATTGATACCAATACAGCACTGTGACAGCACTGGAAATCATCCACAAATCTCTATTTCTAAAGAGCTGGGGTGGGGCGGGGGGGGAAGCTCCACCTTCTTCCAACTACTCCATGCTAACGCAGAATGCTTTAAAAACTGCCTACTCCTGTCTAGCTGATGGTCTCACACACTACATGTACTTCATCTAACACACCTGGGAGAACTCTCCAGTTTCTGTGCCAGGGTTCATTTGGCCAACCCAGACACATACCAGTCTTCCTCCTGGCACATGGCTTTCCATGCAGAAGACTTCTTGGTATATATGTAAAGGTAATCTGACTGGGTGGGTGGGGACTAAGACCCTGGGTCACACCTCAGGGTGTTAAAAAAAAAAAAAAAAAAACAACAGGCACAGGCTTAGAGACTGCACTCAGATGACACAAGCCACACCGCCAAATGATCCAGTCTGGGTTAGGACAACTACTGCTAGTTTTCAATTTCTGCTTTTCAAGGTCACTCCACTAGTCCTCGAGGCAATGGTGGGAAATGTGGAAATACTGGAAAAAAAATCTTAAAGCTTTCTAATATGCTGCCAGTGGGGGAGATTTGGATTAGACGACCGTGAAGCAATTTTCTGTGCATGTCAACACTGCAGTGAAGCATTGGGCAGAGTTAGAGGCTTCTACTCTGGCATCATGTGTGAAGTCATACAGCTAGGTCACCCCTCGAATTCCCAAACTACAACAACAACGTAATGTTCACTGTGACTACACAGCGATCTTAATTCAGCAGTCCCAAGTAGCATCTACATACAGTGAGCGCTATATCACATGGAACAAATGCATATACGCTTTCAGGGATAGCTCACGGGTTTTGCTCCACGCTGCACTGCAGTACTTTGAGTGACTTCTCCTTTTGCCAGAGTTGCTTTTCTGTTTGGGTGCCCGTGAGGTATTCCTTTATTTTTCAGAGGCAAAGGGAAGAGTTTTCTGAAAGACTGGTAATCTTCCCTAATATTCTGACTCCGGTCAGCAGGCAGACTAAACTGAATTCCTTACATAAATTTGGGCTGATGATCAAAGGCCCGGAGATCAAACCTCTGCCTTCATGCCCCCCCTTAGATTAACCTTACTTTCTGCATACTGCCTAATATGCAGTAATAAATTGTTTTTCCAATGTGCTCACTATTAAAGTCAGGGGGGGAGGCAGGGGGTGGGGAGAACAACTGAAAAACCAACCATCTTGGTGAGAGCCACGATCTAACGTGCCTGTAGTCTAGGACTATCACCACCTCACACAAACACACACACATCCCAAACGAACAAACAAAACCAACCCCACAGAACCAAAAGCAAAAGAACAAAAAGTGCAAAGAAACTAAGCAAAACTACCCCAAATTGTGACAAATCATAAGTTAAAGCCAGGAAATTGGAAAAGAGAGACCAGTGAATCGCATCAGAAGAAAACTGTAACTCCGAGCACTCGAGTTTTCAAAATCCATTCACTACTCAAACAGATGAACTGAGATAAGAATAATTTGTGCTATCCCTGAATTTATTGGTGTTTATGAATAAAAATCAAACAATAAGTGGTGTGTAATGATCAAGAGCTTTTGCTTCTTTCCTTTGATATGAAATATGTATAGAATTCAAAACTTATCTCAGTCCAATCCTACGTTTACACAGACTTCCACTTATCAGGTTGTTTTTTTTTCCTCCAAATCATTATTTGAACACGCTTAGAATGCGCCATGCTCTAACCAACTGAGCTAACCCGGCTGGCCTTTGCTCACACTGAAAAGCAGAATTTGTTTCCAGCAAGGAAAGTCCACAATCTGACTGGCAGTGGGATTTCTCTGAGCTTCGAGCTAGAATAAAGGATCCTGCTCTTCAAACCTGCCAGCTTCCCAGTCACAACCCCTCAGAAGTGGTCATAGGGATCATTAAATATGCCAGTTCTGAGACAGTGGAACATTGCTCCGCTGATAATTGTCTCCTTATGCGTGGTGGGAGACTTTGCTTTAATGAGTATGAATAATGTAATAAGTGGTTTGGGAAGGTATGAAGTCCTGCATTGCATCATTCCCAATTGACGAACAGCAAAACCTGTACAGCTAAATTAGTGAGACATCGGATGAAGATGACTGCTGTGGACAGACATTACTCTGGCACCACTACTTAAAAGGGAACACTGGTTCTCCAGGCTGGGTTCCACAATTCTCACACTGCTAGGACAGAGCATATGAAAGGTGCAGCATTTCAGTCACGTGATGGCACTTGGTGAGCTTTAAGAGCCCCTAACACAGCAACACACTGTACCTTCACAACTCTTTTTGTCAGGACCAAGTTCATAGCCAGGATCACAGGCGCACTGGTAGCTGCCCAGAGTATTTACACAGCGCTGCTCACAGCCACCATTGTCAGGTTTCGCACATTCATCTTCCTCTGCCAAGACAGGGAAGAATGCAAAAACGTGTTAAATAATTACCTTCCTCAGCTGTAATTGCTGGATCAACATTAACCCAGAAAGCTGTATGCATGCCACTATAAGGTGCGCTACATAACACACTGTGGTTGCTGACTAGAGGATTTTCAAATGCTAAGGAGACCTGCAATGGAGAAAATAAAAAAATTGTCCTTTGTGGGGTTTGGGTGGGTTTTTTTTACAACAATACCTACTGACAGCTGCAGACCTAATTTATAAGCACTTTCTGGGCAGCATACAATAATTCAGGCAGCCGTAATCTAAAGGTTGTATAAAGTATTGAAAGAAAGATTGAAAATCCACAGCAGGGTCACTTGAAGGGCACTTTATCTCCCACAGAATCAATTTGTGCATTATCCCGAATTCATACTCAAAACCAGATTAACAGAATCCTCAAATCCCAGGTTTTCATTCTACTGATATTAAAAGGAACAAGATGCATCAGGGATGGGGGAGGGAAAGGAATAATGTATTATCTCTACTAGCTCTGAAGTATACCCATGAGATTCATTGTTAAAATATTCCTCGGATGTTGAAATATTGTTTCCTTATACTAGGACAAGTAATTTCTTAGAAATAAAACAGAGCTCCCACCCTCGTGTCTACAGCCTTCAAGGTTATAATTGTCTACAGTGAAAACTAACAATTAGGGTAAGAAAAGCCCCAGCTTGTGGCTTTTCAAAAAGAGCAAAAAGGTTCTCCTGATGGCATGTCCTGTATTTTGGGTGTCACCATGGCCACACCACTGCTAGTGGCTTTCGCTATGCCATGGGCAGCACAGGGTAGGAATTACACACTCCCCATACACAAAATGCTCCAGGTAGAGCTGCAGTTGTATGACACCACCACCCCCC